ACAATCCAATCGCTAAAAGCGAGCAATTTAGTTATAAGCAACCTATACAAATAGCCTCTAAGTCATGTCCAACATAGGGACGCTACTAATTGAATAAGAATCCCGACAAAGGAGGAATATATCAACTCGAGCAACCAACAATCAACAATAACGACTACAAGTATATCAATGATAACAACCCAATTACATTGCTCCTAAGCTTTAAGGAAACATGACATAAGTAGGGAATAGCCTTAACATACCTTTTTTTGCTAAATTCACGTGTCCTAACGACTTTTACTCATAACCCCTTCGATACTACAACAAGGCAGGACCATAATTAACACACTAAAATAGAAGATACCACGACAATCCGATAAAAGATATGTATTTCCGTCGCAAATTGATATTTGCTTGTTATAAAAGCTAGAGTCAATGAAAGAAGGGTCTTCCCTCGATCTTAAGTTCGTAATATGCCTCAAAACCTTCAAATATATCCAAACCTTTGTTGTCCCAACTCTAAATTGTGATATGCTACGAAATCGATAAAACAACTTTCTTTAAAACAAATGCAATATAAAGAAAAGCTATTTAAAAAAATGATGTCAACTCTGTGTATATACAAGAATACAAAAACTCTGAAATGTATGTAAAAATACAATAAACTGATGTATATAAAAATACAATAACTTCTGTGGGAGTTTCTCTAACTGACAATCATCACATAAAAGCTATAGTGATGATACAACGATCTACCTCACGCTGCCAGCGCATCCTATACCCGGCCAAAGGTATAGGACATGAACTACTAAGTGGATCCACTAGTCTATTGTGAAAAGGGTTCATCTAAAAAGTATGACCCTTTTCTACCCATGGTGGCTACATGGTTTTATGGAGACGTGAGTTATCTGAACTCATGCTCGCCCCCAATTCGGTTCTCAATACTACTCCCAAAATTTACTAGCTCTTATGTTTAAACACATACTTCTTCGGTGATTTGAGATTAGTGCTCAAAAACTTAGCTCAAAGGCTATCTTGGAAATCAAAGTTTCCCCTCTTGCTTCATTTAGAAAGCGATTACTTTTTCTGAAAACTAGCCCGAATGCTCTTTGGAAATCTCAGTTTCCGATCTTATTTAAATGTGAAAACATTTAAAATCTCTTTGGGAATACTTAGTCCCCATATACTTTTGAAGAAATGAACTTCAATGTATACTCTTTACTCTTTTCTCAACTTGATCTTTAAGTCTTAAAACAAGATTTAAAGCATTTGCAAAAGACTTCTTGAAAAGACTCTGAAAACTTCCTAGACTTGGCTCTTGACTTTCCTTGAATTTTAATTTATGGATTCAAGGTTATGATTCATGGTTATGGATGATTTCTAGGTGTTTAGAAGTCATTTAGAGTAGTTAGAATCAATGGAAAGTGTTAGGACACTTAAGAATAACTTAAATAGGCTAAACGAC